CTGGGAGGGTTAGTCATAGAGCTGAGCTTGCAGTGGCTGTACAAAAATGTTTTTATTCTGCTGCTTATAATGGGTGTTGGGAGAATCCGTGGGATACGCATGAAACCTCAAATTGGTGAGCTTGGTGTCAAGTTCAGGTATAACATCCCAATAAAAGGCCATATTTGCATCTTTTTAAATATATCTTTGAATTAATAAAATAATAGTGTAACTGTACTAGTCAAACCCACTGTTACCATTGTTCTTGTTTCCTGGGGAGCACAAATCTTATAATAAACAAAGTTGAGGCTTCTGAAGTGATGGGAATTTTTGGTTGTCACCAAAGTGATTATAAGTTCACCCCCTTTTTTGGTGGGGGAGTAGAAACCAGAGCCTATAATTCCCAGTGACCAGCATGTTATAGCTTAAGCACCTGGTACAGTCTAATCCAAAGTTGCCCATAGAAAAAGGCATTAAGCATTAGTCGGAGAACTTTCCACAAAGCTTTTAAGATTGCCTTCATTTCACCTAAAATGAGCTGTTGCATGAAATTCTAAATGGGTCCATGATGTTCTAACACTCATGCACAGCTCCATGGAACAGTGCAGACCTGAGTGTGGAGGCATGCCTAACCTGCCTCTTAGAAATCCAGGGGACTTGTCATTTCCATATTTTGTACAATTATATTAAATCATAATGTAATATTTACATCTGTGTGTGTGTGCATGTGTTCCTGCCCTACTTCCTGAAGCACAAATCCTGAAACACTTGAAAAGCCCTGGGTGGCATGAGTGACCATTTCCCTGACATGGTGACTCTGGGAGGGCTCCTGCATGGGGCTTGGTCACCATAGAGATCAACCCCGATTAGAAGGTTGGAATTTTCAGCTCCACTCCAACTCTCTTCACAACAGAGGAGGGCAGAGAGACCAGTTAATAATTAACCATGTCTATGACGTGAAAACCCCATACAATTCCCCAATGTATGAGCTTGTGGAGCTTCTGGTTTGACCAAGGAATCCACAGCAGGAGGTTGACACATGCCAGCATCACAGGGACAGGACCTTTTGTGCTCAGGACCTTCCCAGACCTCGTCACCCACACACCTCTTCATCTGCCTGTTCCTCTCTGTCCTTTACCCCACTCTCTAACAATGTGGTAGAGTAAGTGCTCCCCTGAGTTCCACGAGATGCTCTAGCAAACTAATCACACCCAAAGGCAGGATCATGGGAACCTCCCAATGCAGCCAAATCTCACAGAAACTGGGGGCAGTCTGCAGACGTCCTGTTGGTGATTGGCATCTGAATGGGGACAGTCTTGTGGGGCAGAGCCCTGACCTGTGCATCTCACACAGGCTCCAGGCAGATAGTGTTAGCACTGAGGTAAATCACGGGAAATACAGCTGATGTCTGAGAGAATCTCTTGCTGTGATGAAGAATTCCCTCACGTTTCATGGCCATGAGCATCAGAAGTGAAGTTTTCTACTTGAGCAGTAAATGAGTGAGACCTGGAGGATAAAACTGAGTTTCTAGTTTAAAAAATATTTCTTGTTGTTAATTTACTCCAGACAATGTGGGCCTGTGACCTCGGGCTCTGTGATCCCCCGTGGGTGTTCCTGGGATGCCCCGTGCTGGCTTAGGTGACAGCCCTAAGCTGTGGGCTATGCTTTCCCCCTCAAGGACAGGTGTTGCCACAGAGAAGCCTCCCCTGCAGGGCCATCACTGAAAGGGAAGCTCAAAGCCAAATTCTGTGGGCCCAGGGGTTTTTCTCTCACTTCCTCCTCATCTGAGCTGCTGTGAGTAACTGTAGCTGCTACCACTGCCATGATCTGTAGCACAGCAATAATAGTCGGCCTCGTCCTCAGGCTGCAACACAGAGATGGTCAGGAGCCCTGCATTGGCCGAGGTGTCTTTGGATCCAGAGAAGCGGCTGGGGACCCCGGAGCCCTGGTGCTTGTCTGAGTCTGTGTAGTAGTTAAGCAGAAACCCAGGAGAGCTTCCTGGCTCCTTCTGGTAGCAATATATCCTGTATCCTCCAACAGTGAAGCTACTGCTGAAGGTTCAGGTAAGTCTGGCTGTTGCTCCCGGAGATGCAGAGAAGGAGGGAAGCTGAGTCAGCACAGGCTGGGAGAGGGAACCTGCAGAAACAGACACATGTCAGTGATGAGGCAGAACCAGGGGAATTTTCTCAAGAGATGAAGCAGGAAGGGAATAAACTTGGAAACTAAGCTCAAGTCCCCGATGCCTGTCCCTACCTGTGCAGTGACAAAGGAGCAGGAGGAGGAGAGGAGTCCAGGCCATGGTGCACACAGCCCCTGAGCCCACAGTGGGGCTGGGCTACCCAGGCCTCCTTTTCTTCCCCACCCTCTGCCAGGGGAGGGGCTGTCCATGCAAATGTGTGTCCATCCAGGGGCTGCCCAGCACCTCCCTGAGCCCTGGTGCTGGAGCTCAGCTCACACCTCAGACAGTGGAGGATGGAAGTTTCCTTCACTCTTGAAGAATCACAGGGATCAGACAAGGTCGGGTGCATTCAGGGTAGCATGTCCTTGCAGAGCATCTGAATGAACCTCAATCACTAATTTGAAAGAACATAAGCACCATATGTTCATTGCCCCATTACTTACACTCACCAAGATATGGAAGCAGCCTAAGTGTCCATCAGCAGATGAGTGGATAAACAACTATGGGGCATTTATACAATGGAATACTGCTCAGCAGTAAAAAATGAAGAAAATTTTACCCTTTACAACAGTATGGATGGACCTGGAAAATATTATGCTGTGTCAAATAAGCCAGTCAGAGAAAGACAAATACCTTATGATTTCACTCACATGTGGAATCCAATGAACACCCTGAACTCAAAAAGAAAATAGACACAGACTCTTAGATAGAGACCAGGGTGACTGCTAAGGGGGGAGGGTCAGAGGGTGGAGGGACTGAGCAAAAAGGAAACAGGACTCAAGGTCAAGGACAATAGTAGGGTGATTGTAGGGGGAGGGGTGACTAAGGGGGACTGCATGGTAATGGAAAAAACTTAATTAAAGAAAGAAAAAGTCTCCAGAGGAAGCACCTGCTGAGAGAGCACAAAGGTCCTTGCTCAGAGGCTCTGCCAGCCCACAGAGGACCCATCTGCAGAGTAACAATCAGTTTGTTCTGGCCCCTCCCCCAGCCCCAGGCTACATTGAGTAAAGGGCCCTAGCTGAGAAGCTGAGTAGAGGCCACAGGACAGTCCCACAGCGCCCCCTGCTGGTCACAGTGCACACTCCTCACCATGGTCTTAAGCCCCAAGAGCCCTGCTGGTCTCTGCAGCTCAGCAGGTTGCACATGGTTCCTTGGGCTTCATTCCTAAAACTAGAACGACTTTATGATCCAGAATTCCACCTATGGGTATTTATCTGAAGAAAACTAAAACATCTCTAAAAGACATGTGCAATCCCAGACCCAGAACAGCATTCTTATACAACAGCCGACATATGGAAATCACCTAAGTATCCATTGATGGGTGAATGGCTAATGATCATGTCGTACATAATATATAATGTTAAATCAGTGTATAAACGAACCTTTGAGAGAAATGGAATCTTGTCATCTGACGCAACATGAACAAAAACTTGGGGACATTATGGCATGTAAATAAGTCAAACAGAAGGACAGACACCATGATCTCACTTATATGTGTAATCTGATCAACAACAACAAAAAAAAACGTAATAAACAAAAGATACAGAGAACAGATTGGTGGTTGCCAGAGGCTGAGGTGGGTAGGACTGAAATGAGAAGTTCAAAGGTACAAATTTGCAGTTGTAGCATAAATCAGGACCTGGCCAAGAAGCTCAGTGGGTTAGAACATGTCTTGATAAGGCAAGGCTGTGGGTTTGACCTGTAGTCAGGGCACATACAGGAAGCAACCAGTGAATGTGCAAACAAGTGGAACAACAACATCCACATCTGAGTGTGTCTCTCTCACTCTTTCTCTCCTTCTCTTTCTCCCTGTCTCTCTCCCACCCCCTTCCTGCCTCTCTCTCTAAAGTCATTTCTCCTAAGAAGCCATCATTATTTTTTTAGAATGTTATAAAAACCAATATCTGGGAAAAAACAGACGCATGACATTGGACACCATCATGTGCAATTCCACTCAATGGACAGGACAATAAAATATTTAGAGTAAACTAATGCAGTTACAGGCACATTTGTAAATATTTCCAACTGCAATCCTACATGCCCATGAACCAAACCTGAGTTCATTCTTGTATCTGCAACTCTAACAGGTCACTGCCGGGAGCATCACGCCTCCTCCCCCTGGGGATAAGTGTCAGTTTCCATCACTGGGGTGAGCAGTCTGCCTCCCACCCGTGCCCACCCACCCACGTGATTATGTAACAGCAGTGCACAGCACAGCCACACCTGCCCTGTTACCTGTATCCCCCGGGAACCCAGTTTATCACCTGGAGCACAGTTTTCTTCGCAGTTTCTTTTGCTGTGGGTGTGACAGGTGCCATCGCTGTCACAGGTACTTTGGTCAATAGATTTCCTTCCCCCACCCCAGAGAAGTGGCTCGTGCCTTCACAGTGCAAACTGATGGGCTCTTGTCACCTTCCGCATTCCACCAGGGGATCCTCAACCTCCGAAACTGCATGTCATGTGCACACGTTAAGGTTCTGTCACTGTGCTGTAGAGTTCTGAGTGCATTTCACAAGGTTGTAGTGCCATTTAGGTGACATTACATTGTCATGTAGAATAATTCAGTTGCTCCTTCTTTGTTTTCACATAGAAAAATTTACAGCAGATACTCATACTCTCTCAAGAGTTTTGCCCCTTCCGAAATGTGACGTGATTAGAATCATTTTAAAAATGACATCGCCTTTAACAAGAAGCCCCTTGTTGGAGGACCCCACTGCTGCCCCCAGCTTGGGGTGAGCCCACACACAGCTGTAATACACACCCACGCACGGCCTGTCGGTTGCTCTTAAGTTGGGGAGACTGTTAATAAAGACACTTTAAACTTTCACATGCAGGTGTTTCTGTGAACAGAAATTCTAATTTATTTTATAATTTCACTTTATTTACTGTAACGTTTTAATTGAGATATAATTGATATACAATATTATATTCCTTTCGCTACACAACATCACCATTCCATGTTGATAAATATTGCAAATTCATCACCAAGATGAATTTATTTAACTTCCACCGCTACACATGGTAACAATGTTTATTATTTCTTGTGCTGCGAATATTTGGGTTCTGCTGGTTTAGCTGCGTCCACACACTCATGATCCAGCATCTCCGCCCCAGTCCCCGTGCTGTCCACGATGTCCCCAGACCATTCATTTCACAACTGGGAGTTGATCCATTTCACTGCCTTTACCCACGTGGCCACCCCCTTCACCCCAGACCTGTGGAAACCACCGTTTGTTATAATTTTATACTTGTCAGTGGTCATATTTTGTACTGAAATCAGAAAACAAAACAGCAGGTCAGCAGGGAGTACACTGAAGGACATTATAAGATGAGATGCAAACGGCTGACTCATCCTTCACACACAGCACACACAGTGCTCAGGCTCCAAGGTAGGGTCAGGAGTCCAACACAATGTCACATTTTTGTTCTCATTACACAAAATAATAAATACAAACCAGTCTGAAAGTCAACTGTCCCCAGCTGGAGGGAGTTGGCCTTTCAGTTTTGTTTAGACCCTTAGTCTGGGAAAGTGCTGCTGTGAGTGACATTAAAGACAGAAGGGAGAGAAGCAACTTTCCCTCCCAGCATCCCTGGGGGAACCTGGGTCCAGGTCAGCAGCCAGAGAATGAGCAGAAGTCACAGGGCACAGGCCAAACCTGAGCTGCAGCAGCTGCAGTGTTCACCCAGCTCCCAGATGACACAGGGGTTCTTGTCTCACTTCCTCACAGGCCTGCAGCACTGTGCGAGCATTGAGATTGTCATCATAGGTCTGGCAGTGATAATCGGCCTCGTCCTCAGCCTGGAGCCCAGTGATGGTCAGGGTGGCTGAGCTGCCAGACTTGGAGCCAGAGAATCGATCAGGGACTCCAGACTCACGATTGCTATCACCATATATGAATAGTTTGGGGGCCTTTCCTGGGAGCTGTTGGAACCATTGCACATCATTATCCCCGATGTTGGAGCTGCTTCCAGTGCAGGAGATGGTGACCCTCTGTCCTGGGTTCCCCGACACTGAGGGCGGCTGAGTCAGCACAGACTGGGCCCAGGAACCTGGGGAAGAGAGACACATAGAGATGGTGATTCTGGGTCTAGAGACAAAGAAGAAAGTACAGCATGAGTTTTCTCAGGGTCCATCCCCTGCCCCCACATGCAGTCACCTGTGCAGTGAGCCAGGAGGCTGAGCAGGGGAGGGGACCAGGCCATGGTGGAGACCATCCTTGAGTCCTGCCTTCTGTGGCCCCACAGCTGAAGCAGAGCTTTCCCCAAACCCCTCCCTTCCCCTCTTCATACTCTGACAGAGGGAGGGCCCACTCATGCAAATGAGAACTGCTCCCCACCCCCTTCTCAGCTGTTTGATTCCTCCCTGGGCCCAAACCAGGTGCCTTGGCTTGAGGATGCCATGAGTGTCTGCAGGGGTGGGGCAGTGTGAGACCTGTGCATTAGGGAAGTCACAGCTCTAAGCCACAACTGAGCCCAGGTCTCTAGGCATTGGCAGGAGGCTGGTCCCAGCTCCAATCACCCCAGTTTCCTCAGGAACAACACCCGAGCGCCCTCTAGTGCCCAGCCCCAGACTCGCCGTTGCCTGTGGGGACCAGAACCTCTCAGACACAGCATCTGACTTCCACTTTCTGTCCACTGAAAACTCCCTTAGGGCCAGGCCAAGTGTCCCATCTTGTGGTCTTCCCATGACTGCAGGGAACATCAGTGTTGTCCTCAGAGTCCTCAGGGTGAGCTTCTCCACACCTCCCTGGGCTGTCAGTGTCCGTGCTCAGGAATATCATGGTGTCTCTTACATAAACCCTTAGACCAGTATCAAGTCCAGAGCAGTGACCGGCCCTAGGCAGGCATGTCCCCTTCTGTGCAAGACACGGGTTTGTTGCTGCCTGGTGTAAGATGTCTCCTTCCCTGTGGGTCCCCAGCAGAACTGAGGAGAAAGGGCCCCTTCTCTCTAGGGACGGGGCGGTTATGGGGAGAAAGCCCCCCTGCTCATCCCTAGTGTGGGACACTGTGTGACCCTTTGTCATTATCCCACCTGCAGGGGACCCTCGGTCCCCACACACAGTGAGCAGCGATCCCTCCTGGGAGTCAGCTCTCACTCTCACAGTGGACAGTTGGCCGGGACCTTGCCCTATGGCATTGTGTGTGGCAGGTCTCTAAGAGGAAAGGGCAAACCTGCAGAAATATCTAGGGAAAAACCTGTATTGCTGCCATAGGATTTTACTAATACAGTTTACCCAACTTAACTACAAGTATGTTATTGGATATACAAGTCACATCAATAAGGTTTAAAAATTCAGTGATGATAAATACTGATGGAAACTGTGTTCAGATACCCATAGTACACCACTGGAAATGCTGATCTTGGTTGAAACGGTGGCTCTGAGACAGATGTCCCAGGTCGCCCACTCCAGGGCTGCTGCTGTCCCCAGGCCACACTGTCCACCTCTGTGGTGCTGCTATAGGTGACCTTGTTCCTGAGACCTGTCCCCGCAGGGCGGGCGCATGTGCCAGCACAGCCCGAAAGCAGGAGCCTGAACGATATAACACACAGAGGAGCTGAGGTTTGTGGAACGGGGCTCACTTTGCCCACAGCTCAGTTCACTGGAGGAGTCAGAGCACAGAGGCCGGGATTGGCAGAGAGGCTGGGAAGTGAGCTTAGTGACCGAGGGATTTCTGAAAGGAGAGAGTCCCCTGTGAGGGAGCTCAAACCCCTCACAAACCCAGAGGAAGCCCTGTGTGAGGTGGGGGTGGGAAGATGTGAGCAATGAGTTACAAACCCTTCCTCAAGTTCTCACTTGATAAAATGATAAACTATTCTGCAAATGCAACAGTAATGGTAAGAATTGCCCGTCTCCCTAGCGCTGCTCAGGGGAGAAAGGCTGTGGGAGCCCCGGAGGCGGACTCACATTCCCCTGGGGCTGGGGCCCGGGAGGAGGACGGGGACACTGGGGTGTGCGGGTCGGAACGTTCAGCACATCCTCAGCTGTCGGCAGGGGCATCTGCTGTGGGTGACATGGGCACCTAGCAGAGCACCAACAACCCAAGGATGTGGTTGCCTCAGTGGGCCCGGAGTTTTCATGAGGCATCACCAGGGCCCACGTACCAATACCGCACCATGGCACCCAGTGCCGCTGCCTCTTCCTGGGCCCCAGGCCCTGAAGGAGGCTGGGTGAGCAGGGACAGATGCAGGGACCTGTGTGCACAGGGCAGGGACCTCACGGCAGGGAGGGGCCAGCGCTGGGCGGGACGCCTGCCTGAGCGTGAGCATCGGGAGCTTCACTTGCGTCGTGTGTAATGTCAGGGAAGGGGAGTCCCTCCCGTGGGCAGACAGTCTGAATCCCTGCCCCTTAGCCCTGGAGCCCAGGCCCAGCAGCCTCCCACCTGCAGTCCCATTCCACAGCCAGAGGAGAGGGAGGGGCCTGGGGCGCTTAATGCTCTGTCAGCGTCCACACCGAACTTTACTCTGGTGGTTTCTGTGAACATGTCTGAAGTGTGTTACTCCTGCAGCCATTAGGCTGAAGAACGCAGATTACCGTCTACAATGTGAGAGGGCCTCGGCCAGTCAGTGGAAGGGTGGATACAGCCAAGACGGACCTTCCCCAGGAAGACGGAGCTCTGCCAGCAGACGGCCTCAGAGCCAACCCACACGTGTCCTCGTCCTCCCCAGACCTCCGACCGGCCAGCCCACACCGAGGGCTTGGGGTTTGCGAGTGTCTCCAGCCATGTGAAGCAATCCCTTAAAATTATTTTCTTGAGATTATGTATAAATGTATGTTTGTACATATGTATATGTGTATATATACATTTATTCCTTTGAGATTTTGTGTGCATGTGTGTGTGTGTGTATATGGTTGTGTGTATGTATATGTGTGTGTGTATATGTATGTGTATAGGTGTGTGTATAGGGGTGTGTGTATTTGCGTGTATATGTATATGGGTGTGTGTATATACGTAAAGAGAGAGAGACAGGTCTTTGCCCAATCACTCCAGCCCTGCAGGAACACTAAGTCACACACAGCCCTTTATTCAAGTCTCTGTCCTACTTGACCTTTTTCTGAGGCCTCAGTCGACCCTGTTCCGTGGAACCACCTCTGATACGTGACACAGGGTGGCACAAATGGACCGCTGTGCTCTGGGTCCTGCAAAGGCCTGAGGGGTCGCAGTCACGTGGACCACAGGTTCCGGCACACGAGATTCCCACCATGCACATCAGCCGTCGCGACCCTGCCCATCGCCCCCCAGACCAGGCTGCACACACCTGGTCCGTCACAGGGCACGTCACTCAATCCAGTGACAGGCACAGGCAGCTCTGGAAGTGAAATGTGATTTGAGAGGAAGATCTTGGGAATTTTCCCTCCAGGGTCACAGATGCGGGTTGCGTGGGCAAGCCCTGGAAATTCGGAGGGAGACACCAGATTCCTTTATCAAGTGATAAAGTGGGCTTTATCACTTGAGTGAATCCTGCTGGGGAAGCACTTGTGAAACAACATAAGTTCCCAGCTCTGGGGACCATATAAGTCCTGAGAGGACACAGCTGCAGAGTCCCCATCACTAAACACTGGGCCCAGCCCCCAGGCCAAGGCTCCTGTTACTAAATGGTCCTTAATGAGCTCCTGGGGAAGCTGAACAGGGCAGCCCCACAGCGCCCCCTGATGGTCAGACAGCACACATGTCTCCCTGAAGCAAAACCCAGAGAGCACAGCTGGTTTCTGTAGCTCAGCAGGTCACTGGCTCTATTCATTCACACATCCAGGGTCTGGTTCCCAGATACTGTCACTCTGAAACACTGTACTGGTTCTTGATGCATCTCACTCCCAGAAATTCTCAACGGTGGGAGATGCAAACTTCTACCTAAAAGAAAAATTAATTTCGATTTACCGCCAGTGATGTTACTGCAAAAGTAAATGCACAGAGACTTTCATGTCCAATGTCACAGATGAGGGGACCTCTCTTTTGCTTGGAAGGGTCATAATGGCTGCTCAGAAAATTTGCCAGGAGCTCATGCAGGCGCACGTGCAGAGGAGGCCTATTCAGCACACATCTCAAGTCACCTGATGCACGCCCAGTTTTCACAGATCTGATGTGATTAAGTGATGGGCAACAATAATGGCTGTTGAAGGCTTCACACTTACCAGCGGAAATGTGGCATGCTTCTCCATTTCAGAAGTGGCCTTTTGACCTTATTTGGTGGAGTTCTGTGTACCTGTGTCACATGTTTCTTGTTAAGGTTTTGTCATAGGTAACCTAACATTTGTTTCTGTCACAAACAAATCTCTACCTACCTGTGTTCTCTTAGTGATTATCTTATTTTTGTAGCAAGATAAATCTGAGATGGAAGTATTTTTTATGTCAACTATTGTGTTTTTCAGTTCTTCCATTTCCATTGGGCTTCTTTTCATGATATTATTTCAACTCTGAGTTTTTTCTTTTTTGCCCATTTGAAACAAGCAGGCTTTATGATTGCTCATCAAATGGGTGTTGGGACTGTTCTATAAAAATACCAGTCACAACATTTCCTCACCTGAGTCAGCTCAGTGTCAGCATGAATAGATTCTCTTTCCCATTCAAGTTAATTTTTTTTTTAAACATCAATGATCTTTAATTTTTTTTAAGATTTTATTTATTTATTTTTAGAGAGGGAAAGGAGGGAGATAGAGAGAGAGAGAGAGTGAGACATCAATGTGCGGTTGCTGGGGGTTACAGCCTGCAACCCAGGCATGTACCCTGGCTGGGAATCGAACCTGGGACACTTTGGTTCCCAGCCCACGCTCAATCCACTGAGCTACGCCAGCCAGGGTCAAGTTAATTTTTCTTAACATGACAAGCCATGTATTTACCCTGGATTCAGGATCTCAGGGAGATGCCACTCAGAGGAGCTTAGCAGAAAGAGAGTGAGGCTTGGACTTCAGTCCTGCCCGGCACCCCACCCACCCACACTGGGCAGGGGCTCCTCGTCCCCCAGGCTCCTCCCTGTGCCGCAGGTGTCCCCGCACCTCACTCCTTCCTCTAAGGGGTGACCTCCCCTGTATGCTGACTTCCTCCTGCTCCTCCTACCACTTAGATAATTACATTGCTGGGACCATACAGGTGCCTGAGCCCTCAACTGAACATGTGCTCCACTCAGAGAACAGATGTCTGAGGGCATGGAGACCCCTTGCACACCCTCTGTTTCAGGGCCTGGGGTGATCGGCTCCTCTATCTCTCCTCATGCTTTACTTCCCACTGTGTCATCCCAGTGCCATAAACCTCATCAATTGTCCCATCGTCACCAGCAATGGGACCTGTGTCCACTTATAACCAGTCATAGGGGGACATCTATAGGAAGACACCAGAATCATTCAGAAGTGAGATCTGCTCTCTTGTTGTTTGCCCCCCTGTGACAGCATCCTCATCAGATGGTCACAGCACTTCCCCCCTAGGATGCAGCCAGGTCCCCCACAACCATGGACAGGTGCCTCCTATGCAACACACTGAGCTGATGTGCCCTGTGCCTTATTCAGAGGAGGCATCAGGCCGTCACAGGAGTACAATATGCACTCGTGGAGTCGGTGAGAGTGGAGTGGGACTGGATAAAAAAGTAAGTATGTGTACACACACACACACACACACACACAACCACAGGAATGTAGTAGATTACGGCACTAAGGGCATAATCGTGCTAACATTCTGTACATGAGTGGAAGACAAGTCTAACACACAGTGGAGTCAGGAGAAGGTGTGTTGAGTGAACACAGAGCCACTGTGGACAGTGAGGGAGGCTCTAGCGGGCCGCGGGGACATCAGGGTCATCATACAGATCACTCTCCCTGAACTTCAGCGCTTCTTTGACAGCCGTATTGCTACCATTTGCAGTTCAATGGTCACATTCAGTCTCGTCCTCGGGCTGCAGGCTGCTGATGGTCAGAGGGGCCGTGCTGCTGGCCCTGGAGCCAGAGAACTGAGTTGGGATCCCTGAGTGCAGAGAACTTCTGAGCATCACAGCTTTGAGGGCAGCACCAGGAGCCCGTTGGTACCAGCCTGCACCGAGGATCCCAACACTGTCGCTGTCTCCAGGGCAGGAGAGGTTAACCTTCTGTCCCCCTCATTTTATTCTCAATGCAGGTAGAGAGTGAGCATGACACCCCCATTTTCCTGGTGCCCTTCCTGCTTCACTTACCAACTGCCTGGCCCACAGCAACTTCCCTCATTTATCTGAATGATCCCTATCTTTTCCTTTGCATTCTTACTTGTTATTAGAACATTCTGGGCCCCACCCCATACATCCATACCACTCTTACTTATTCTGCCAATTCCAAACTGAAGACCAGTGTATTGATTAGGCCTGGTTGGCCCATCTCCCCGCCCACCCTCAGGCCCAAACCCACCCACATAAGCGTCTCCCATGTAGGTGCTTTCTTCCACCCTTTACACTTTCCCTCACAGCACAGCTTAGGGGCTGAGAGGAAGCAGATAGAGAGCTGAAAATACACAGCTGGCATAGTTTTGGTTTCAGTGGTAATTAAGAACAGATTTATAAGTCCTTCAGATAAAAATTCACTTTTATCTCATCCCTGGAACATCCAATGTGTATCCCAGCATGAATTCGAACTCCTCCCGCTTAGGACAACCCCACAGCGCCCCCTGCAGGGTCCATGTCTCAATCCTTCCAGGTCCTGTGACCCACCTGAGGAATGCAAGACAGTGTGCGTGATTTTGGATGATTTTACTAATCACTCTAAATCTCACTGGTTAGTGGTCCTGGAATTTTGGTCCACACAGAGAAGAGTAGAGACTGTTCTGTCTTCTGTAGGATACACCTTATGTGATCTCTGCAAAACATTTAGTTTGTGAGCAGGCTGAAAAGATAGTAACAATGGATTCACAAAATTTGTAACTACAGACAATAAGGAAAAAATTGCATATCCACAGGCCCTAGGAAAAGAGAAGCCAACTGAAGAAGCAACAAGAAATGCTACCCTCAGTTACACTTGGTCCCAGGCACCTCAGGGGTGACAGCCACAGGCAGAAAGAGCACAGGGAGGTTTCAGTCTCACTTCCCCATGACTCTGGAGCACCGTGTAAGTGTCAATGCTGCTGTCCCATGCACCGCAGTAGTAGTCAGCCTGATCCTCAGGCTGCAGCCCCGAGATGAGCAGGAGCCCTGCATTGGCTGAGGCATGTTTGGATCCAGAGAAACGGCTGGGGACCCCGGAGCCCTGGTGCTTCTCTGAGTCTGATTTATAACCCAGGAGGTACCAGGGAGGTCTCCCTGGCTTCTGCTGGAACCAGAATATATAGTAGGAGCCAACAACAAAGCCACTGCTCAGGGTGCAGGTGAGTGCAGCTATTGCTCCCGGAGACACAGAGATGGACGGCGGCTGAGTCAGCACAGGCTGGGAGAGGGAACCTGCAGAAACACAGACGCCCATTATACCCTGGAGGAACAACGAGACAGAAGAACATTTTCAGCTTGTGGGGAAAGGGATTCCAGGGAGGTGGGGTGTCAGGACATCCTGACCTGTGCAGTGAAGGAGGAAGATGAGGAGGGAGAGTGGAGTCCAGGCCATGGTGGGGATGCCCCAGTGTTCTGCTGAGGCTGACACCCTGCTGGTCCCTCTTATCCCTTGAGACACAATAGAAAGGGTTCTTTATGCAAATTCATTCCATCCTCTGCCCAATGAAATCCCTCCCAAGGCCCTCTGTGCCCACCAGTGTCCTGGGTGGGCCTGGGCTGGGCCTCGCCTGAGGCTCCCCAGGGGCCCAGTGAGCACAGACACTAGTCACCGCATACCTGCTTTCCCAGCTGACAGCCCACACAGACCACTCACCAGAAAACCTCAGAGCCCCTGCTGCCCCACCCAGGCCCGTCACGCCCATGACCAGGGGGCAGGTGACTGACTGAGACCCTGTCCTCATAACCGCCTTGTCCTCTGCCCACTCCCTGCCCAACGACAGAGCCTGGACCCACTCAGGGGCTGCCTGCTTCCTCCTTCCAGTCTGTTTTCTGTTCGGGCCCCTCCACCTGGAATCACCGAGATTCACTCAACTTTATAAGGAAACTCCGGGCAATGGCGCCTCCTGCACAAGCTGCACGTGACACAGACACACAGGAGCTGAGAACACGGGCAGTTCGGCCACGCAGCCACCGCCCAGGCTGCTCACGAAGGCAGGTTTCTCACCTGCTGCAGGGCCCTCACTACATCGGCTCTGGGGACTCACAGAGCAGGTACGGGGAGGTCTGTGGGGCGTGTCCTGTGTTTGCTCGTGTTCTCCAAGTGACGTGGGCTCTCTCCCAGGCTGACAGCGCTCTGCTTTGGGGGCTTTATGAATAAAGCCTGAGTTTCTTCTTTAATCAGACGACTTGATTCTCCTCCTCCAGACGTCTCCTCGGTTTCTGACTACCTTTGCCTTCCCTTCCTACCTGATACCAATCCGGTCAGTGTAATGATTTTTAAACCTGTATGTAGATATTTTTGGAGAAGGGAGCTTTTAGCTGCACTGTAGACCCGCCGATTCAGAATCCACGTTGCCCAGGCCCCGGAAGGTTCCCGTGCAGAGTGAAGTCGGAGGGGCTCCGGCCTCGCACACACGAGGGCCCTGCAGGGCTCGTGCTGGGCAGCGCTTCCCCTGCTCAGTCTCTCCTCTTCCCGGGCTCAGCCAGCAAACTCACGTCCTGCTTCCCCTGCCAGCGCCTCGCACCCAGACAGACATCCCCAGGCTTCCCCCTGAGAGAGGGTGGCATCGCCCCTTACCTCACAGAACACAGACAGATGACGGAGGGTGCAGATAATGCCAAGACGGGCTCCACTTAAGGACACTAGCAAACAGTGGGACCCATACAATAGCCACAATTTGCATTACTTCCTACAATCAAAATAATAGTAGCAATTGTTATATGTTTGTGTAGGTTTGAGACAGGAGAAATTAAGCTTCAATGAAAGAGTAATTGATAAAAGGTAAAGACGTGAGCACAAATTTGACAATAGTGTGGGAAAATTGAGAATGGAGGTTCTGGAACGTGTGCATGCTGGGGAACATGGTGAAGGTAATTGTTCGACGCTCTGGTTTCCTGGAGATGCCACGACAATGGGCCATTGCCCGGTGGCTCACATTCACAGAAATGTGCTGTCTCATGACCCTGGAGGGTCAAAGTCTGCGTCCTGGATGGTGGGCACCTGTCCCTCTGACACCTGCAGGGGACCCTTCCACGAGCCTCCACAGCTAACGGAGGTTTTCCTGACATGACTGGGGTTCCTCGGCCTGCAGCTGCACAGCTCCAGCCCCTGCCTGCGCCTTCCCACGGCAATCTCCTTCGCTGTCCCCATCATCACTGTGGTCTTCCATGGACACCAGTCATGTCCAACTAGGAGGCCACCCTACCTCACAGAGCCGCATAGTAACTAATTACACCTGCCAAATCATATTTTTAAATAAAAACGCACTTTGAATTAATGGGGGTTGTGATTTCACAGATCTTCTTGGAGTAACCAATTTAATGGCCCACATTTGGGAAGAATCATGCTTCCCCAAACCTTCTATTTTAAAATATTTTAAATGCAATACATACACTGCAATAAAATATTTCCTGAAGAGCAAACTTTGCTAATAAACAAAGGACGGTTTCCCCGGATTCCTGGGGGAACACCACTGGACAGGACCCTTCTGCAGGAAATGTGTTGGACTCCAGCCCTTCGTTCTAACTCAGCAGTCACTGCTCGTCCTGGACTGCGCTGCAGATGGATTCCACTTTCCGGGGCATGTTTGACAGGTTCCACAGCCCCGGGCCCCAGCAGTGGTCTCTGGCGTGGGTAAGGTGGGCGAGGAACAGGGCACAGGGTGAGGGAAACACCAGGGAGACAGGAGTCCAGGTCATGGTGGACATGTCCAAGGTCCCCTGGCCTCAGGTTGGGGCTGCTGTCTGGGTGTCCCTTGATCTCCTCCTCAGCTCCCTGGGTGAGGGGTGTGCCCCTCTTGGTGAGACGTCATGCAAATATGAGCTCACAGCACCATCCTATTCACAGTCCTCAGTCCGGTTTGAACCCTCACTCTCAGGAGGAGTCTGTGAGCTCTGAGTCTGTCCCTTGAGAGGAAGCACCTGCAGTCTCCTCTAACTCACACCAGTGACCATGGGTCAGGGCCATTCAACTGGAACCATTTGGGTTTGATTCAGGCCTTGATGCTCTGAGAAGACCCACAGCGCCCCCTGCTGACGTCCTCTAGCTTATTCATGGTGGTGGGAACTACAGAAGGAATTATCAATATAGGCCTTTATTTTCTGTCAAAAAGTAAAATAAATAAGTAAATAAGTAAGTAAACAAACAAATACATAAAGTATTACCTGATCTTGATTCCCTGTAGATCATTTTCCCTTTTATTTCAACTATTGGATCTTTCAATTCTACAATCTCCATTTGTTTTGTTTTCGTGACTTCCGTTTCGATTCCGAGTTTCTCTCATTTCCTAATGCTCGTAGTTTCCCGTCAAATGTACCTTACGAATGCCGCCTGAACACATCTGTCATTAACGTCGTCCGTCTCATGTCTGTGTTACTGTCAGCAGCTCGTCTTTTCTCTGAGTCTGTGTGAGACGCCAGATGCTTTTTTCTGAGTTCTGGACATTTTGGAAAACACATTAGGGTCCTCTGGGCCCCATCTACTCTCTGTCACCCGGTGACCCCTGTTCAGAGCAGCACCAGGTCAGGGGGCACGTTCGGTTGCCGCTGGCCCCAGCAAAGGTGGAGCCTGACTGCAAGGCCAGCTCTGTGCTGCTCTCACCTCCCTGGGCGCAGTGAAGCGGAGACTCTCCCCAGCAGGTGCCCATCAAGGGGAGTGAGAGACAAGCCCGCTGCCGGATGAGTGAGCTCCTGGGCGGCAGTGGGGGTGGGTGCTCAGCGCCCCACTGAGCCCTTTCCTGTCACCACACCAAGGACAGTCCAGGGCAACACAGTCCCAACTCCCCTGCCTCCCACTTCTCACTTAGTGCTATTAATGCAGGATGGGCTCAAGGTTCATTTCTCAGGGGCCCACATAGTCACCATCAGGGGGCACACGTGTGCAATGTACTGTTGGTCACAGTAGGGACAGGGCAGTGATGGGTCACCGGGGAGAGCTGGGCAGATGTTTCCCTCCCTTCCCCAGGTAATGGAAGCTCTTGGTGGCTTTAGTTTGTACTGAGCCCTGTCACAGTGATAATCAGACTCCTGATTGTGCTGGAGCCCGGAGGTGGGAAAGGAGGTGGTGAGCACCACCAAGGAACCAGAGAAGATGTTGAACCCCTGAGGGTCACTGACCTGTGTCCTAGGTCACAAGGTCAGAGACCTGCCTGGGAGCCCTGAGGACCCATAGGTTCACTGCTCCCTGTGCAGAAGAAGAGATCATGGATCTGGGCTCATCAAGAGCTTCCCAGGGGCAGTGAGCCAGGCACACCCTGGGGATGTCCTGCTCCTGCTGGCCCACAGCCCGGCCCACACCCTGGAGTGCTGGAAAGTTCCAATCACATCTGAGAGGAGAGGGGACATAGTCAGGGCCTTTGGGCTCAGGAAAACCACTCACAAATGTCCCCATGTTCCTGAGTGGTAGCAGGGGTGAAAGCACCTCATCCATGGACCCACTTCTCCCACGTGCCCTGCAGCAACAGGCTCAGCATTTCCCCAGCTGCTGTGGAGCCTGCCCCACCACCTTGGGACACAGAAAAACAGATTTTCTCACCCGGGGCCCCACATTTCCTGGCTGGGATTCCCTTTTCCCCTCAACTTCACAACTGAAAACGGGGGGTACCCAGCAAGTGTCACTGATTACCTGTCCTCTGGCATTTCTCCTGGGCCTCAGTTTCCACCCAGCATCTCGAGTCTGAGTTTCCAGGCCCTGAGACACGGTGCCTGGGCCAAGCCGAGCTCAGGGGCCAGGTGAGAATGGGTCAGTCTCCGCTCTGAGCCCTCACAGCACAGAGTTCGTGCGGTGAGCAACGTCCCCCTGCTGGGATGGCCCTGGGCTCGGACCAAGGAGAAAGGCAGGAAGGGCTGTTACCTCATTTCAAGGGAAGCAGTGCAGTTCCACAGGCTCTGGTTTTATTATTATATGGGCAATGTTTTTGTGTGATCATAAATATTTAGGTTTGGTTTTATTTCTGTTTTCTGGAGACTTCAGAGACAAAGATGGGAAATTGAGAGTAACACATGATGGGTCAAAAACTACTTCCACATATAATTAAAATATATACAAATTATTCAAAAAAGTTCAAATGTCATAAACCAAAAACATAACAGTTCGAGGTTTTTGTCCCACTTCCCCATCTGTGTGTGTCACTGTGAGGAGCATCACTGTGCCAGATCCTACAGTAATAGTCGGCCTCGTCCTCAGGCTGCAGCCCCGAGATGAGCAGGAGCCCTGCATTGGCTGAGGCATCTTTGGATCCAGAGAAGCGGCTGGGGACCCCAGAGCCCTGGTACTTCTCTGAGTCTGATTTATACCACAGGAGATACCGGGGAGGGCTCCCTGGCTTCTGTGGTGCCAGTGTATGTGGTACTCGACAACAGGGATATCCCCTCTCAGGGTGCAGGTGAGTCTGGCTGTGGCTCCCGGAGATGCAGACAGGGAGGGCGGCTGAGTCAGCACAGGCTGGGAGAGGGAATCTGCAAAAAGGGACACTGATGGGTGGTGGGGCATATGGATGCCTGGGTAAAAGTTATCAAGATACTGAGCACAATGGGACTGACATAGGAGGGTGCCAAGGGTGTCCTAATTCTGTCCTTACCTGTGCAGTGAGAGAGGAGCACCAGGAGGAGAGGAGTCCAGGCCATGATGCACACAGCCCCTGAGCCCACAGTGGGGCTGGGCTGCCCATGCCTCCTTTTCTCCCCACCCTCTGCCAGGGGAGGGGTTGTTCATGCAAATGTGTGCCCATCTAGGGGCTGCCCAGCCCCTCCCTGAGCCCTGGTGCTGGAGCTCAGCTCATACCCCAGGCAGGGGGGAATGCAGGTTACCCTCCTCATCTTTCAGTAGAGCCCACCTACACAGGAAGCACCTGTTGAGACAACACAAAGGTTAATGTTCAAGAGACTGAGGTGTGGCCACCTGCCTACAGTGAGCACAGAATACTGTGGATGGTTCATCGAAACACGAGAAAAACATACACAGAGACAACCAGGTCCTGTGGGGGAATAAGAACAGAAGGGCTACTCCTCCTGTGGGGAGCACCTGGGCCACCCTCTCCCCTGGAGGATGCTGCTTGGCTTCCCTCTCTCCTGGAGGGCATCATGGCCACTGCCTCTCGTGGGGAGTGCCTCCTCTCCCTGCACAAGCAGGGTTTTATTCTTGAATACCAATACAGTTTGCAAATTACAAGTACTTAGCTTTTGAAAGGTGCTGGCAGATTTCCTACTGGGATCCTAAGCCAGAGATGTTGGGGTTTTATCCTTTAAAAGGACTGCAGGACTTAAACCTTAGTTGTGTTTCCTGCCCGTGACTTCACATTCTAATTAAAGAGCATTCTCCAGCAAGCAGATTTCACAGGGTCTTTCATATTCTATGTCTTAGGCCTTATTACCCCGGGAGTCCACCTTTTCTGGTCAGGACTGTACAGCCCCTGTTACTTCCAACGGACCTGAATTGGGCAGAGGAGACAAAGGCAGCTGGGAGACTTGGATTTCTCATGGACTCAGGCTTTGGCAAAACTGGTGATTGATGTCGATTACCCCGTTATTTCCACAGCCCCCTGAGTCTTGTCCCTGTCATTCCTTCGTGATCACGTCTGTCTTAGATTCATTCTCTATCCAAGAGAATTGTTACCCATCATTGACTGCCATTCAAGCATGAAAAGGAATGAGGCATATGAACAGGCAGCGGTCATGCCAGGGAAATAAGTTTTGTTTCCTTCGTGGCTCCTGGTCCGGAAGTCTTTCACTCAGCCTAAGTCACAGGAGGTTATAGCTTCCTGAGACCAGGCAGGGTGGTCCTCAACAGGAGAATATGCCAGACTGAGAGGAGACACAGCAGGTGAGTCCCCATCAGGGAGCACAGGGACCAGCCCCCAGGCCCAGGCTCCACTGAGTGTACAGTCCTCACTGAGCCACTGTGTGGGGACCACAGTGCAGCCCCACAGCACCACCTGCTGGTCACAGGGCACACATGTCACCCTGGAACAAAGCCCTGAGAGCCCTGCTGGTTTCTGCAGCTCAGCAGGTCACTGAGTATTCACACATCCAGGGTCTGCTTCCCAGATATTGTGACTCTGATACACTGTAGTGGTTACAGCAGCATCTCACTCCCAGAGGTCCTCTCCTGTGGGAGGTAGAAGCAGGAATTACATGAAGAATTACTTTGGCTTCACCCCCAGTGGAGATGTGGCACAGCACATGCACAGGGAGCTTCCTGTCCCACATGGCAGATGAGGGACAGCTGATCCGGTTTGGAGGGCTCACAGGGGCTGCTCGGGGAAACGACACAGAAGAGGGTTGTCCAGGAAAACATTCAGTGACCTGTTCAGAGCAGAACAATGCAGCAAACGTTTTAATTCATGGGACGCATGTACGGTTTTTATGAAGATCTGATTTAATTTAGTTGAAATTGGTAAAAGGTAATGGCCTTGGTGGGCTTCACAAGTCCCAGTGAAGAATGCAAAATGCCTCTTGGCTTTAGAAATTGACTCAATATTCTGAAGTTTGCAGTATTCTCTTCATCTGTGTCACATGTTTCTTGCCAAAATTTTGTCTAAGGTGTCCTAAAAGTTGTTTACATTTCAAACAAAAGTGTCCTGTATGTTCTTACTCCCCATGTCAGTTTAGTAACAGGCAGATATGAGGCTGTGCTGTGTGTGCAGATGGGCCGGGTGTCTGCGCAGTGGGATGCAGGGGGTCCCCCTTCCCCCCGTGCCCCGGGGGCAGCTCTGCTTTACTGTGTCAGGGCTGCCCGGTCCCCAGACTCCCAGACCCTCAGGCCTTTCAGTGAATGGTTACTTAGGACCAGGAGACCCACTTCCCTAAGGCCCTCCTTGCTCCAGGCACCCGGAGGGAGAGATTTTTCTCCTTATGTCGGGCAGGTGCTCCCTGCTTAAAAAGATCATGAATTCTCTTGCTGCTTCTTGAACAAAATACTGTCTTCTTTGAGGAGAATCCAAAGCAGTTTGGTCACTTCAGCGAGGACGGTCCTGTGCTGGAGGTGCCCAAGGACACAGAGCCTGCGGTCTCGGAGGCCATTTATCCTGAACTGGTACCGTGTGCAGATTTCATGAGGGTGTTGGCCCTGGAGGAGGTGGTTCTGCTGCTTCAGTGCAGTGAGCATTTTGCAGATAATACTCAGAGCCCAGGCAGATATCAAAATGAGCCTTTCTCGTTGAAGAGGATTAGCTCAGGAGGAAGGATCCACCGGCTTCTAGGTCAGACCCTTCAGAGTAGAGGATTCAGCACTTGGCAGATGGGGCCCTGCTGCAAGCTGCATCCCAGAGGCAGGAAAAGCACAAGCAGGGACAGGGGGGGTAGTGACAGCAAGGTCACTCTGTTAGGGTCCAGGATATCAAGTTCCATCTCCCAAAGACCCACTGTTCCTAGAATTCCCTCAGCCCCTTCAGGGGGGCGAGCACCAGAATAGAGGCTGAACCTCATGGTACCCACTGCAGTCTGTGCAGCTTATGGGACTCTGGGGGCTGATGGGCAACAAAGTCTTTACATTTTTGTCCACACAGAGACAGTTTCCTCCTATCTTCCCTCTCAGTTTCCATCTCTGAGGGTCAATGTTAGTATTATGTTTCATGTCTCACAGTGGTGTTGCCTAGGCTGGCCCTGATGCTGTCACTATGGTGGCTCTGGAAGGGGCAGGGGTCCTCCTTGGGGCCCCAGTGGAGTCCCTGAGCCTTAAGATTTCATGATAGGGGGTTGTCCAGGTGCCATTGACCTTCAGGTTGACATGAGAGTGCAAATGCTCTCAGATTTCGGGTGCAGTGAGACCAATATTTTATGGATTTTTAAAGTCTCTTCATATTTATTTGTTAAAATATTGGCAGACTATTTACCATATGATATAGACAAAAAGAATCAAGACTGAGAAATTGAGTTCTCCCAGGTACAAAGAAGATGAAAAAGACCCATAAGAAACAACGTCTCCCCATCGTAATAAACGCAAACGCAGACGAATGCGACATCACCAACAGGAGCTCCAAGTGGCACATCGAGTTCATGTCCACACGGCAGATCAGAGCAACCACAGACTCTGGAGAAGAAATTGATAATGCAGAAAGCTTAAAGGAAATGAGGAATATATGAAAATGAAAAATATATTGAAAGAGATACAATATACATTTTCCCAGGAAGATAAAGGGGTTTCAAAAATGAGTAAAAAGAATACTTTCTCTACAAAATACAACATGTTATAAGAGAAGTATTCCACACAAAAAAGTGTGAGATAAAATTACTTTTGCAAACAACACAAAAAAAGTTTACAACAGGATCTTTCAAAAGTGTCTGCTACATAGACATTTTTCAAACCTTGAAAAACTGGAAGCTTTCTTGATTCCCACAGAGAGCAGGTGTAACAGTGACACCTGCACGGGACAGAACAATTGCAGAAAAGGGTAAATTACAGACGATAATGTGACACATGATCCAAATGTTCTAACTTCAGTATTAACTCAGGTCCAACATCAGGCTAGTAAGTGGATGCACCAGCATCACATTTGATTCACTCCATTATCCAACTTACGTTTCAGTTGATCATCCCTCTCACAGAGCACATCGTGTTACTAGACCAAAGGATAAAGTAAAAACCCCTCGATAGCTTCAGAAGAAGCCTTTGAACAAAGTATAAAAGTAACATAGTAAAAACACACACAGTAGAACAGCAGGTGCATTTGCAGTGCGGGACCTCACACTCCCTCCTCACACACACAAGTGAGCCCCACACTCAGCTCTCAGCTACTGAGGCAGGAGGACAACATTCCCACAAAGATCAGGAACTGGCCACTGTGACTTTACCTGAGTTGTCATTCAACATCACACAGCTAGTACTAACAATGCAGGTAAAGAAGAAGAAATTCATGGTTGGATAATAGCACTGATTACTTTTTACACGTGGTCATTTCCCAGCACCAAAGGTCGGCCACAGCCCGAGGTGCTGAGAGGCTGGTTCAGCCGGGACAGAGTCTTCACCCTGGGAGCTACAGGACAGGGGTTCACAGTGAGGGTCAATGAGAGGGCGGCAGCTCTGGAACATCCAGGAAAGAAGTCAGTGATCACTGACAGAGATGCAGGATGCCCAGTCAGAGTTTGGGTCTGAAGCGACCAGAGATGGTGCCCCCATTCCAGCACCTGGGCTTCAGAGCAGAGTCACTCTCTGTCCCCAGCTGACGGGAGCTGACTTCCTGTTCTGTCTGAGACCTGTTGTCCAGGAGGGGGCTGCGTGATGTGCTGTGAGGACAGGGGGTGGGGAGGCACATCCATTCCCCAGGGGTTGATCTGGAAGAACCTGGCCCAGGGTGGCAGTACTAGAAGCAGAAGCCACAGGTGTCCTGAGTGGCACATGATGGGACATCCCCTTCCTGCAGATGACAACGAGCTTCTACTGGTCACATGCCCCACAGGCTTGCAGCTCTGTGAGAGCACAGAGGACACTGTCACAGGGTGGCTGTGAGAGGCAGGCTTGTCATCAGCTCTCAGCCCAGTGAGGAATACGGACCCTAAGCTGCCTGACCTGGTCCCAGGAATGGATCAGGAACCACACAGGATGGATCTATCCTGAATGATGGGCAGGGTGCAGGCTCAGGGGAGACACGTTGGTGACAGCACACACTCTGGGCCTTCCTCATGTGCAATGATGGGTTCCTTGTCCCTGGTTCTTGCTGACCCAACAGGGACTCGGTTCCCAGCACAGGCTCCCTCTGACATTCAGGAACTTCCCCTCGTTTGAGAAAACTGCACAATGCATTACTGCCATAGACAGGCCTCAGAGGCAGCGTTCAAAGGATGTGACACATGTTCCTGTCACAGTCCCCTGTGGTGGGTCTCAGACCTGAGTTCAGACCAAGCAAACCGAGAAAGCTGCTGTCTTCTCAGAGGAGTGGGGACTGCACCAGGGAACTGCACTGCAGGGGACAGCAGGTTTTTGTCTCACTTCCCCACGGCCCTGCAGCACTGTGGGAGCACTGCTACTGCTGTCATAGGACTGACAGTAATAGTCGGCCTCATCCTCAGCCTGGAGCCCACTGATGGTCAGGGTGCCGACGCTGCCAGACTTGGAACCAGAGAAGCGGTTGGGGATCCCAGAGGGTCTACTGCTAGTATCATAGATGACGGTTTTAGGGGGTTTTCCTGGGACCTGTTGGTGCCAACCCACATAGTAACTGCCGATGTTAGAGCTGCTTCCAGTGCAGGTGATGGTGATGGTCTGTCCTGGGTTTCCCGACACTGAGGGTGGCTGAGTCAGCACAGCCTGGGCCCAGGACCCTGGAAGAGGGAGACACACAGAGATGGTGATTCTGGGTCCAGAGACAGGAGCAGGAAGAAGACCCCCAAGTATCTTCCCAAGGTCTCCTCCCCTGTCCCCTTATCCAGTTACCTATGCAGTGAGCCAGGAGGGAGAGCAGGAGAGGGGACAAGGCCATGGTGGAGTCCATCCTTGAGTCCTGCCTTCTGTGGCCCCACAGCTGAAGCAGAGCTTTCCCCAAACCCCTCCCTTCCCCTCTTCATACTCTGACAGAGGGAGGGCCCACTCATGCAAATGAGAACTGATCCCCACCCCCTTCTCAGCTGTTTGATTCCTCCCTGGGCCCACCCCAGGTGCCTTGGCTTGAGGATGCCAAGGGTGTCTGCAGGGGTGGGGCAGTGTGAGACCTGTGCATTAGGGAAGTCATATCTGTAAGCCACAACTGAGCCCAGGTCTCTAGGCATTGCCAGGAGGCTGGTCCCAGCTCAAATCACCCCAGATCCCTCAAGAACAACACCCGAGCGCCCTCTCGTGCCCAGCCCCAGACTCACCGTTGTCTGTGGGGACCAGAACCTCTCAAACACAGCCTCTGACTTCCACTCTTTGTCCACTGAAAACTCCCTTAGGGCCAGGCCAAGTGTCCGATCTTGTGGTCTTCCCATGACTGCAGGGAACATCAGTGTTGTCCTCACAGTCCTCAGGGTGAGCTTCTCCACACCTCCCTGGGCTGTCAGTGTCCGTGCTCAGGAATAACGTGCTGTCTCTTACATAAACCCTTAGACCAGTATCAAGTCCAGAGCAGTGACCAGCCCCAGGCAGTCATGTCCCCTTCTGTGCAAGACACGGGTTTGTTGCTACCTGGTGTAAGAAGTCTCCTTCCCTGTGGGTCCCCATCAGAACTGAGGAGAAAGGGCCCCTTCTCTCTAGGGACAGGGCGGTTATGGGGAGAAAGCCCCTTGCTCATCCCTAGTGTGGGACACTGTGTGACCCTTTGTCATTATCCCACCTGCAGGGGACCCTCGGTCCCCACACACAGTGAGCAGCGATCCCTCCTGGGAGCCAGCTCTCACTCTCACAGTGGACAGTTGGCCGGGACCTTGCCCTGTGGCATTGTATGTGGCAGGTCTCTAAGAGGAAAGAAGGCAAACCTGCAGAAATATCTAGGAAAAAACCTGTATTGCTGCCATAGGATCTTCTTAACACAGTTTACCCAACTTAACTACAAGTATGTTATTGGATATACAAGTCACCTCAGCAAGGTTTAAAAATTCAGTGATGATAAATACTGATGGAAACAGTGTTCAAATACCCATAGTAAAGCACTGGATATGCTGATCTTGGCTGAAACGGTGGCTCTGAGACAGATGTCCCAGGTCGCCCACTCCAGGGCTGCTGCTGTCCCCAGGCCACACTGTCCACCTCTGCGGTGCTGCTATAAATGACCTTGTCCTGAGACCTGGCCCCGCAGGGTGGGCGCATGTGCCAGCACAGCCTGGAACCAGGAGCCTGAATGATATAACACACAGAGGAGCTGAGGTTTGTGGAACGGGGCTCACTTTGCCCACAGCTCAGTTCACTGGAGGAGTCACAGCACAGAGGCTGGGATTGGCAGAGAGGCTGGGAATGAGCTTAGTGACCGAGGGATTTCTGAAAGGAGAGAGTCGCCTGTGAGGGAGCTCAAACCCCTCACAAACCCAGAGGAAGCCCTGTGTGAGGTGGGGGTGGGAAGATGTGAGCAATGAGTTACAAACCCTTCCTCAAGTTCTCACTTGATAAAATGATAAACTATTCTGCAAACGCAACAGTAATGGTAAGAATTGCCCGTCTCCCTAGCACTGCTCATGGGAGAAAGGCTGTTGGAGCCCGGGAGGCGGACTCACATTCCCCTGGGGCTGGGGCCCGGGAGGAGGACGGGGACACTGGGGTGTGCGGGTTGGAATGTTCAGCTTCATCCTAGATGTCGGCAGGGGCATCTGCTGTGGGTGACATGGGCACCTAGCAGAGCACCAACAACCCAAGGATGTGGTTGCTTCAGGGGCCCGGAGTTTTCATGAGGCATCACCAGGGCCCACGTACCAATACCGCACCATGGCACCCAGTGCCGCTGCCTCTTCCTGGGCCCCCAGGCCCTGAAGGAGGCTGGGTGAGCAGGGACAGATGCAGGGACCTGTGTGCACAGGGCAGGGACCTCACGGCAGGGAGGGGCCAGCGCTGGGCGGGACGCCTGCCTGAGCGTGAGCATCGGGAGCTTCACCTGCGTCGTGTGTAATGTCAGGGAAGGGGAGTCCCTCACGTGGGCAGACAGTCTGAATCCCTGCCCCTTAGCCCCGGAGCCCTGGCCCAGCAGCCTCCCACCCGCAGTCCCGTTCCACAGCCAGAGGAGAGGGAGGGGCCTGGGGCGCTTAATGCTCTGTCAGCGTCCACACCGAACTTTACTCTGGTGGTTTCTGTGAACATGTCTGAAGTGTGTTACTCCTGCAGCCATTAGGCTGAAGGGCGCAGATTACCCTCTACAATGTGAGAGGGCCTCAGCCAGTCAGTGGAAGGGCGGATACAGCCAAGACGGACCTTCCCCAGGAAGACGGAGCTCTGCCAGCAGACGGCCTCAGAGCCAACCCACACGTGCCCTCGTCCTCCCCAGGCCTCCGACCGGCTAGCCTGCACCAAGGGCTTGGGGTTCGCCAGTGTCTCCAACCATGTGAAGCACCCCTTAAAATTATTTTCTTGAGATTATGTATAAACGTATGTTTGTACATATGTATATGTGTATATATACATTTATTACTTTGAGATTTTGTGTGCATGTGTGTGTATGTGTGTGTATATATGGTTGTGTGTATACATGTGTGTGTGTGGGTGTGTATATGTATGTGTATAGGTGTGTGTATAGGGGTGTGTGTATTTGCGTGTATATATATATGGGTGTGTGTATATACATGAAGAGAGAGAGACAGGTCTGCGCCCAATCACTCCAGCCCTGCAGGAACACTAAGTCACACACAGCTCTTTATTCAAGCCCTGTCCTACTTGACCTTTTTCTGAGGCCTCAGATGACCCTGTTCCGTGGAACCACCTCTGATACGTGGACAGAGGGTGACACAAATGGACCATTATGCTCTGGGTCCTGCAAAGGTCCTGAGGGGTGACAGTCACGTGGACCACAGGTTCCGGCACACGAGATTCCCACCATGCACATCAGCTGTCGCGACCCTGCCCATCGCCCCCCACACCAGGCTGCACACACCTGGTCCATCAAAGGGCACGTCACTCAATCCAGCGACAGGCACAGGCAGCTCTGGAAGTGAAATGTGATTCGAGAGGAAGATCTTGGGAATTTTCCCTCCAGGGTCACAGATGCGGGGTGCGTGGGCAATCCGTGGATATATGAAGGGAGACAACAGATTCCTTTATCAAGTGATAAAGTGGGCTTTATCACTTGAGTGAATCCTGCTGGGGAAGCACTTGAGAAACAACATAAGTTCCCAGCTCTGGGGACCATGTAAGTCCTGAGAGGACACAGCTGCAGAGTCCCCATCATTAAACACTGGGCCCAGCCCCCAGGCAAAGGTTCCTGTTAATAAATGGTCCTTAATGAGCTCCTGGGTAAGCTGAACAGGGCAGCCCCACAGCGCCCCCTGATGGTCAGACAGCGCACATGTTTCCCTGAAGCAAAACCCTGACAGCACAGCTGGTTTCTGCAGCTCAGCAGGTCACTGGCTCTATTCATTCACACATCCAGGGTCTGGTTCCCAGATACTGTGACTCTCATACACTGTACGGGTTCCTGGTGCATCTCACTCCCAGAAATTCTCAACTGTGGGAGATGCAAACTTCTACCTAAAAGAAAAATTAATTTGGATTTACCCCCAGTGATGATACTGCAAAAGGAAATGCACAGAGACTTTCATGTCCAATGTCACAGATGAGGGGACCTCTCTTTTGCTTGGAAGGGTCATAATGGCTGCTCAGAAAATTTGCCAGGAGCACATGCACGGGGCACGTGCAGAGGAGGCCTATTCAGCACACATCTCAAGTCACCTGATGCACGCCCAGTTTTCACAGCTCTGATGTGATTAAGTGATGGGCAATAATAATGGCTGTTGAAGGCTTCACACTTACCAGCAGAAATGTAGCATGCTTATCCCTTTCAGAAGTGGCCTTTTGGTCTTAGTTGGTGGAGTTCTGTGTACCTGTGTCACATGTTTCTTGTTAGAGTTTTGTCATGGGTAACCTAACATTTGTTTCTGTCACAAACAAATCTCTACCTACCTGTGTTGTCTTACTGATTGTCTTATTTTTGTAGCAAGATAAATGTGAGATTGAAGTATTTTTTATGTCCACTATTGTGTTTTTTAGTTCTTCCATTTCCATTGGGTTTGTTTTCATGATATTATTTCAACTCTGAGTTTTTCTTTTTGCTCATTTGAAACAAGAAGGCTTTATGATTGCTTATCAAATGGGTGTTGGGACTGTTCTCAAAAAATACTAGTCACAACATTTCCTCGTCTGAGTCAGCTCAGTGTCAGCATGAATAGATTCTCTTTCCCATTCAAGTTATTTTTTGAAAAACATGACAAGCCATGTATTTACCCTGGATTCAGGATCTCGGGGAGATGCCACTCAGAAGAGCTTAGCAGAGAGAGAGTGAGGCTTGGACTTCAGTCGTGCCCGGCACCCCGCCCACCCACACTGGGCAGGGGCTCCTCGCCCCCCAGGCTCCTCCCTGTGCCGCAGGTGTCCCCGCACCTCACTCCTTCCTCTAAGGGGTGACCTCTCCTGCATGCGGAGTTCCTCCTGCTCCTCCTACCACTTAGATAATTACATTGTTGGGACCATACAGGTGCCTGAGCCCTCAACTGAACGTGTCCTCCACTCAGAGAATGGAGGGGCCGAGGGCATGGAGACCCCTGCACACCCTCTATTTCAGGGCCTGGGGTGATCGGCTCCTCTCTCTCCTCACACTTTACTTCCAACTGTGTCATCCCAGTGCCATAAACCTCATCAATTGTCCCATCATCACCAGCAATGGAACGTGTGTCCACTTGTAACCAGTCACAGGGGACTTCTCCAGGAAGAGACCAGAATCATTCAGAAGTGAGATCTGCTCTCTTGTTTGCCCCCCTGTGACAGCATCCTCATGAGATGGTCAAACCGCTTCCCTTCCAGGACGCAGCCAGGTCCCCAAAACCACGGACGGGTGCCTCCTATGCAACACACTGAGCCGATGTGC